CTGCTGCTGCTGCTGCTGCTGCTGCTGCTGGGGGTATTGATGCTGGGACTGCGGAGACCGGGGAGGAGGCGAAGCTGCGGCGGCCGGCGGCACTAGGGCTGCTGCTGCTGCCAGATCTGCCGCTGCTGTTGCTGCTGCTGCTGCTGTTTCTGTCGCGAAGACGCAGGTTCACGCTGCTGCTGCTGCCCTTGTTGTTGCTGACTCGGACGCTGCTGCTGCTGCTGCTGCCGCGTTTGCACGAGCTACAGCAAAGTAGCAACTCCTTGGGTCCCTGATGCTGTTGTTCTTGCTGCTGCTGCTGCTGTTGCTGCTGTTGTTGCTGCTGCTGCTGCTGTTGCTGCCGTTAGGACTGCTATGGTTGCTGCAGCACAGGCTGCAGCTCGTTGAGCCGCTCCCGTCCAGAAGTTCCTTCAGAGCTCTTCCAGAAGCAGGCATCTGCTGCTGCTGATGCGGCTGCTGCTGCTACTGCTGCGGCTGCTGCCGACAGCGTCGGCTCGCTGCTGCTGCTGCAGCTGCTGCTGCTGCTGCTTCCTCTGCTCAGCGCAGGCTGCCGCATCGGTTCACTGTTGAGAGTCTCTGCCAAGAGTTTAAAAGTTTAACTCTGCCGTTCCAGGTGTGGAAGGCAGCAGCAGCAGCAGCAGCAGCAGCAGCAGCGCGCATGCGCTGCGACTTTGCGCGTCTTGGGCCCCACACCACACTCGTATTCTTGTGGGTTTTAAAAAAGAATAAATTAAAAATAAAATGTATTTTAATTCAACAGAAAATAAAGAAGGTCGCCTCGAGAACAGCTGCTTCCAAACCCTAAACCCTAAACCCTAATGTTTAAACCCTCGCGAATGAAGGAAGCAGCAGATCAATTCCATAAATGCAAAAAACTCAAATTTAAAAACTTTTCTTTTTTTTATTTATTTAAATATTTTTTTTAATATTATTATTTAGGTTTTATAATCAGGAAGATGCAGCAGCAGGGGCGGAACTGTGTAGGCTCACGCCTTGCCTTACAGTTGCTGCTGCAGCTGTTGCTGCAGCAGCACGAGCTCCAGCAAGAGCCGCAGCAGCGACTGCAGCAGCAGCAACAGCTGCAGCAGCACAAGCGGCAGCAGCAGCAGCAACATCTGCGGATCAATAACCGCCAAATGACAAATTTTGAGCCTTCATCGTATCTACTGTTACTCCTGTCACTGCTGCTGCTGCTGCTGCCGCTGCTGTTACTGCTGCTGCTGCTGCTGCTGCTGTTACTCTCCGCATTCCTTGTTTCCGCTCTTTGATTATCACCTTTTCCACTGCATGCATTGCTGCTGTTGCTGCCAGCTTTGCTGCCTGCACAAACTTTGGCACAGTTGCTGCTGCTGCTGTTGCTGCTGCTGCTTTTCTAATTTTTTGAATTTTATTCATTTTGCCGTTGCTTCGGCCATGTGCATAATTGTCTTTACTATTATATGCATTCCATTTTGTCTTTCTCTATTTTTGCTGCTTCTATTATTATTTGCTGCTCTTGCTGCTGCTGCTGCTGCTGCTGCTGCTGCTGCACGTGCCTTCATCCTTTGGTTGCTGCTGCTGCAGGCACTTCAATCTTGTTTCCGTTTCACACTTTCCTCGAGGGTTCAGGGTTTAGGGTTTAGGGTTTGCCGGTGCTGCTGCTGCAGATATTGCTGCCAGCTAAAAGGCGATGACTCTAAAGGCTTCCCCACTTGCTGCCGCTGCAGCTAGCCACAGCTCGCCTCAGCTAGCCACAGCTAGCTACAGCTAGCTACAGCTAGCTACTGCCAGCCACAGCTAGCCATGGCTAGCTGCAGCTAGCCACAGCTAGTCATAGCTAGCTGCAGCTAGCCACAGCTCGCCTCAGCTAGCCACAGCTAGCTACAGCTAGCTACAGCTAGCTACTGCCAGCCACAGCTAGCCATGGCTAGCTGCAGCTAGCCACAGCTAGTCATAGCTAGCTGCAGCTAGCCACAGCTCGCCTCAGCTAGCCACAGCTAGCTACAGCTAGCTACAGCTAGCTACTGCCAGCCACAGCTAGCCATGGCTAGCTGCGGCTAGCCGCAGCTAGTCATAGCTAGCTGCAGCTAGCCACAGCTCGCCTCAGCTAGCCACAGCTAGCTACAGCTAGCCACAGCCAGCTACAGCTAGCCCCAGCTTGCCATGGCTAGCTGCAGCTAGCCACAGCTAGTCATGGTTAGCCATAGCTAGCGTCAGCTAGCCTCAGCTAGCCATAGCTAGCCAGTGCTGGCCACAGCTGGCCACAGCTAGCCATGGCTTGTCACAGCTAGCCACAGCTAGCCACAGCTAGCCACGGCTAGCCAGGCTAGCTACAGGTAGCCACAGCTAGCCACAGCTAGCCACAGCTAGCCACGTCTAGCTACAGCTAGCCACATCTAGCTAGAGCTAGCTACAGCTAGCTTTGGCCACAGCTAGGTAAAGCCAGCCGCAGCTAGCCACAGCTAGCCGCAGCCAGCTACAGCTAGCCACAGCTAGCTGCAGCTAGCCACAGCTAGCTACAGCTAGCCACAGCTAGCTACAGCTAGCCACAGCTAGCTGCAGCTAGCCACAGCTAGCTATATCTAGCTACGGCTAGCTCGCTGCCGCAAAGGGCAATGAGCCGCAGCGAGCTTTAGCTAGCCGCAGCCAGCTACAGCTAGCCACAGCTAGCTGCAGCTAGCCAATGCCTCTAAGCTTTTTCCTTGAAAGACGACTGTTGCAGCAGCTCTTGCTGCTGCTGCTGCTGCTGCTGCTGTTGCTGCTACTGCAGTTGCTGCAGTTGCTGCTGCTGCTGCCGCCACAGGCCCCGCGGCCGCCGCTGCCACTGCTGCTGCTGCTGCTGCTGCTGCTTCCTCCGCAGCTGCAGGCCCCGCTGCTGCTGCTGCTGCTGCTGCTGCTGCTGCTGCAGTGGCGGGGGCGCGCATGTCGCCGGGAATGACTGCAACGTGCCTCCAGGCGCTGCAGCAGTCGTGCTGCTGCCTGTCTCTGAGGGCAAAAAGAGCCTGAGGGTTTTTCTCAACAGCAGCAACAAAGAAGAAGCAAGGCGGCAGCTGCAGCAGCCGCAGCGCGTCCAGAGCTGCCTGCACCAGCGGGCCCCGCCCAGCCCCCACCACGTATATCGCAATCCGAGGCCAACACTCCTGCTGCTGCTGCTGCTGCTGCTGCTGGTCGTGCTGCTGCTGCTGGCCGTGCTGCTGCTGCTGGTGCTGGTGAGGGTGGTGAGGTGGGGAGTGGTGGGCTTGCGGGTGGTGGTGGTGCAGCTGGGAGGGTGGGGCGCGGCCTGCTGCTGCTGCTGCTGCTGCTGCTTCTGCTGCTCGTATCTCTTTTGCTGCTGCTCGCAGCTTGCTGCGCATGCACTCGGGGGGCTGGTAGTTCAAATAGTCTTCTTCAGATTCAAAAGAAAGAGAAGTGACAAAAGAAAGACAAGAGTAACGCCCCATTGCCTTCTGGTACTGCAGCGGCAGTTCCACCAGCGGCTCTGCTGCTGCTGCTGCTACTGCTGCTGCGGGGGGAGCCGAGGGGGACGACAGGGGTGGCGCTCCAAAGCTGCTGCTGCTGCTGCTGCTGCGGCGGCGGCGGCGGCGGCGGGTGCGCTCTTTAGTGAAGAAGGTCCTGCTGCTGCTGCTGCTCTGGCGCTGCTGCTGCTCCTGCTGCTGCTGCTGCAGCAACGGAAAATTCGCCTCCGAAATGTACAGACAGTTGGGATTGTCTAAAGCAGTTGTGCTGCCGTAAGGATCCCTGCGAGAGCGCTGCTGCTGCTGCTGCTGCTGCTTTTGCGGCGGCTGCTGCTTCTGCTGCTGTTGCTCGTCGTCGCTGCTGCTGCAACTGCTGCGACTGAGACTGCAGCTGCGGCTGCTGCTGCTGCTGCTGCTGCTGTCCGATAATGTAAAGCGTCTTCTGCGTTTAATACGCTGCTGCTGCCGCTGCTGCTGCCGCTGCTGCTGCTGCTGCTCAAGCCCTAGAAGGTCCCGCAGCCGCAGGTAAATGGCGCGGCAGTACAATTTGTACTTGATCGCATCTCGTTCGAAGACCTGGTTACAGAAACACAAGGGTTCAGGGTTTAGGGTTTAGGGTTTAGGGTTTAGGGTTAAGGGTTTAGAAGGGTTTTGGCTGCAATGGAGATCTGAAGTGCTGCGCAAGGGAGTCGCTGGGCGGCGATGTAAACTCTAAACCCTCGGCGCTTGTTCCGCCTAGGGTTTGCAGCGCAGAAATTAGGGTTTAGGGTTTAGGGTTTAGGGTTTACTTCGTAGCTGCAGGCGTTTAAATCGTCAGAAAGAGGCTGCATTGGGACCTGCAGCACATTTTGGTGAGAGCGGCAGAACAGCAGCGGCAGCGTCAGCGGCGGCAGCAGCAGCAGCGCCTGCTGCAGGCAGCAAAAAAGCGGCAGCAGCTCGCGGTACCGGCAGCGCCGCCCGCTGCCGCTGCTGCTGCTGCTGCTGGGGTTTGCTGCTGCGTTTTGAATTGCTGCGGGACGCTTCAGACACGGCGCAGCAGCAGCTGCACTGGCTGCTGCTTCCTCGTTTGCTTCGACGCTCTGAACTGCAGTAGGCCGCTTCACTGCTGCTGCTGCTGCTGCTGCAGCAGCAGCAGCTGCTGCTGCTGCTTGGTCTGTGTCTTCGTCTCTGTCATCAACGATAACGAGCTTCACGCGCAGCTCTGCGCAGCGCAGCAAGAACAAGAGGTGCTGGCGCAGCAGCGTCACCTGCTGCTGCTGCTGCTGCTGCTGCAGCTGCAGAAAAATGCTAGTGGGAATAAAGATGCAGCGCAGCGGCTCCGCCAGCCACCGCTGCAGCTGCTGCTCCGAGGGCAAGTCCTCTGTGAGCTGCAGCGCGACTCCGAGGTGTACAGACACCCCAACCACTTGCTGCAGGAACGACCACTGCTTCCACGGGTCCAGCTGCTCCTGCTGCTGCTGCTGCTGCTGCTGCTGCTGCTGCTGCTGCTGCTGCTGCAGGTCGGCGGCGGCGCTGCAGCCGTCGGAAGCCGCGTCCACGGACCCCTGCAGCAGGTCTTGCTGTTGCAGCTCCAGCAGCACTGCAGCAGCAACAGCAGCTTCCGGTGTCTTCGTGCCCAGCGCCAGCGCGTCTCGTTTTGCTGCTGCTGCTGCTGCTGCTGCTGTTGGCCTCGAATACTGCAGCGGGAGCCGTACCCAAAAGGTCGGCGGCTGCAGCTGCGTTAGCCAACTCTTTATGGTCCTGCAGCAGCAACAGCAGCAGCAGCAGCACCGAGTGCCAGCAACAGTATCCACTTTAAACCCTAAACCCTAAACCCTAAACCCTGAACCCTTAGTCCTTTAGCAAACAAAGGCAGCGTCCTTTGTACTCCACAGCAGCAAAAGCGGCCTCAGCAGCAGCAGCA